AGAGGTCATGGGCCTTTGAAGGAATTACGCCACAGCAGCAGAGTTCATTTGTTTGGCAAAGTTGGGCTGGGGTAACATTTGCATTTCCCTCCGAACCTCTCAGCCTGCCGGGAGTATCGTGTGACACCTGCGACGCTCCACATCTCAACTTTCTTTGCTGAGTGTGAGCAGCTCTGGGTGAAATGAATCCCACGCTGCAGCGAGGCTTTTCTTCATACCTGTTAAAGAGCCACCGGGATGTGACAAGGTGTCAGCCCAGCCCTCTTTGTAACGTAATACGACATGAGGATGAGGCCGAGGTTATCCTGTCACTCTGAGCCTCCTGCAGGAGGTAGAACCTGCACTTGGGCCACGGACTGAGTAAAACCTTTGTTTGTTTGTTTTTTTGGAGTTGAATGTGTCAAAGCAGATCACAGCAAACCATCAGTGACAGAAGAGGAACTGAGCTGCTGTAAACACACCAGTCACTCGGAACCAGATAGACAGCAATAGACTGAGTTTACATAATAAATAAATGAGTAACATGTAAATGATTACAACTCATCAAACGTTCACTTACCTTGGAAAAAGGCCTCTGTTTTTCCCAGGACTAAACAAGGAGCCAGTGATAAACATTATTGTTATTATTATTAACACTAGGTTTATACAATCTGGTAAAAAAAAACCTTTAAAAACAAAGTCTTTCTGCAAATATTAAAATTGTTGAAACACAAAGTTAATGTAGAAAAATACAAATAGATTCTAATTATCTGCATTTTCTTTTTTTGTCTTTAGAAATAAAATAGGAATATCCTGCGACCAGTGAAGGGGTCCTGACCTGGCCTTTGGGAACAAAACCATTATGTGTGAAGTGTGTTGTCTTCTGCTACATGAAGGAACTGACCGTGGGTGGACCAGGGGTAAGTTATGATATACAGAAGATATAAAACTTGTCGGCCCTGTCTGAGAAGTTTATGGCCTTTACTGAGTCTAGAGACATTATTTACCCGTTTTAAAGCATTTACAAAACTCTTGTACATGTAGGCTACAAGCACCTCTTAAAGGTCTCATTCTGGACGTTCTTCCGAGATCGTCCTGTAACAGATCCTGGGTCAGTTGAGGTAAGGAACTCTGTCCAAACTTTCCGTCACCTCTCACCTACTTCATCCTTGGATTTTCCTACACTTCATCAAGACTCAGACTCAGACGTTCTGCTCCTGCGTTCAATATATTTGAATGGCAAATTCTGTCTGGACCCAAATTTTGTCACCTGAGCAGCACCAGCGTCTCCAGAGTCCACATCAAGGTTAGGGTTCTTAAAGTGGAGGTCATGGAGCTGCAGCTGAAACACCCTCATAATTCTGGAGACCGTTATAACGAGGCGTCCGGGCCTATTCTTATCTGCCAGATGCCACACAGAGGGGCAGAAAGGAGTCAATAAACCCCCCATTGTGATTAGAGCTTTACACAACCTGAGGGAAAATGAAGTCATTTTGTTGGTTTAATTAACAAAGGACTAAAAAAATTAAGGTTTAATCTGACTCAATGTGGATTAAATGAAAATGTTCCTGATCACTGGTGTTCACCATTTCCTGATTTTTATCATTCATATCCTCATTACTATAATCAATGTGTACAAAATACACAGGAACAAAAAAAACCTAGTGATTGAAAAGAAAAACCCTCAGGAAAATGGTTAATATTTTAAATTGTGGCTAATGCTCTCACTGTTTCTGTTGTTTCAAAATTCAGAAGTCAGATTCAGAAAAATCCAAATATTTATTTGTAGACTGGACCTACTGCCCATTTTATGGTTTTATGTTCAATGACAATAATGTTAAATCGAATCGAATCTAATGATAGTATAATAACTGACTGCTTGAGAAAATATTATTTTAAAAGTCCGGTTAATAAAAACAGTCAATAATGATTATAATCAATATTAACGATTAACTGTTCATCCAATCATCATGTTTATATAAAAAATATAACAAACAATGTTTCAAAAAATGACATTTGACACTATTTTGTGACATGTTAGCATGTTAGCTAAGCTTCCTTGACGTCACTGTCCAGTCCGATGATGCTTTCACGGCGGCTCCGTCTGTTTCTTACACACAGCCTATTGTCTTAATGTAAAGGTTTTTCAGCCGATGCACCTTTCTTACGGCTGGTGACAGCTCCACCCCTGACCACTCCGACTCCCCACCTTCACTCGGTTCCACTGTGGGTGGATCCGACTCTCATTGGCTTTAGGACCCAGTGGTTCTCTCCAGTGAGGCAGGCAGACAGGCAGCGGCTCAGCCCTCACACTGAAGCAGACAAAGGCGTGGGGAGAGACGGCGTGCCCCCATCCTACTGCTGCAGCAGTCGACTCTCTCTCTCTCTCTATCTCACTATCTCTCCCTCACACACACACACAGTCACCATCCTCTCCACGCACTCGCTCTCTCACACACACCCACCCACACCAGCCTTCACTCCGCCGGCAGAGACGCAGGTAAGTGTGCTCCTCGGTGCGCTTTCATTCGTGCACATATTTAGGTTTATTCTTTTCTATTTTCTTTGCGCGGACAGATGTAAATAAATGTTGTGAAGGATGAAGTGGAGACGTCACGGGAGGGGTTTTAATGTTCAAGTGATTTAGAGGCGATGAGACGCAGGTGGATTTGTGTGGAGGAGGCGTTTCCTCTGCATTTTGCCCTGATGGAAAACTTGCATCTCGCTCTGCTGCAGCTGCTGCTCGTTACCATGTGGCTTCAATCATCATCATCATCATCATCTCCATTTTCTTCTTCTTCTTCATTCACCACAAAAAACAAAAGGATAAAAAACTGAAAAGTTTTCTTCATGTCAAACTGTCTGTGTGGTCATTTAAGGAAAAAACCGTGTAAAGACATGAGGACGAGGCCCGTCCTGATCCTGGACTGGATCCTCCTCTTCCTCACCTCCAACACCATTACCTCACTTTTGTCAGTACCATTAGATCACACACACGCCACAAACATGAGGAAATGTTTAAATTAGTAGTGTGTATTTTTTTTTTAATTCTTCAGGCAGTAATGTGGTGCCTTTTTTTCTGAGAAGTCCCCACATGAGTCAGGGCTAGGAGTTCTGGGGAGGGGGGGGTTCTTTGGTCATCTGGGCCTTAGGCAACCACTTGCAGTGCTTTCACTTGGTGAAGCACCAGTTTGGTGTCCCTTTGTCCTGGTCCACATCACAGAGAGTGGAACCAAAGTTCCAACACCTGATGTCACCGACGCCGGGCGTCGTCCATGGCACGTTGTCTTTGAAACTTTTCAGGTTTCAAACTGATTTTTATTTGATTTGGAAAAACTCAATGGGGATTTTAAGTCCAGGACCAGAACTTCACACTGTGTGTGTGAAATGGCTACCAGTTTGTTGGAGCTCTGCGCCTGGTGCTGGTTCGTCAGGCGTGTGTGTGTGTGGGAGTGGGTGGCTCCGTCAGGAGGCCCAGAAATATCCTGACAGAGTCAGTGCTGTGCTGGCAAAATGTCAGGATGAAAGGCTGCTGAATGTCTGTCAACCATACTGATGGTTTTCATTGTGTCCTGGCTGTAATGAAATATCCTGACGTGACTATCAGGAACAAAGATCAGGAGCAAGTAATTGTTTTTTTTTTTTTTTTTCCAAAGGGTTTTCTATCTATAAGTGTTTCAGAAAAATCTGGCAAAAATACCTGAACAGAAATGATGATGTATTTGTCCATTACTGCCCCGTGATGTCACCCTCCCTGTGAAATACAGGCAGTATCTACAGCACTTTCCACAGTGGGGGTCATTTTCTGTTACTGTTCCTCGTACTCATGCTGCAGTGCCGGTGATGTCACTCTGAACACCGGCACCCTGCTGGAGACAATGGACCTTCCCGCTTGATTATCCGTTGGGGAAGGGTCACAGTTAGCTCTGCCCATTAGTGCGGCAGATGGGTCTGAAACCTGGCCCTTTGTCAGCTGAGGAGCTGAGGCCGCACTCCGTGAAGTCCCACCCTTATCACCGAGCCTGTCATAGACCCCCGGTCGCAGCAGCAGCAGCAGCAGCAGCAGCAGTAGGCGTGGAGCAGAGCAGAGCTCCAGCACATGGACTGTTTGCAGCATCATTCTGTGTCTGCTCTGGTGGAAAGACCACGTGTGCAGAGGGTCGTTTCTGCTGCAGTGTCGAACACGGCTTTAAAACGAGGCTCCAAAGTCTGAGGAGTCATATTTTTATTACTGTCTGATTTTTAAACATTTTTTTATTGTTAATTCATCAGTGCCAGGGGCTTTTTCCCATTTCAGTCTAGTGATGACCCCTGACCTATATTCTCCCAGTCGACTGTAGTTTCTTATTGATTTGTCATTTGTGTCATTTATTGGATATTTTACATTGAATTTGTTAAACTCTGAAAATGCATAAAAACTAAAAGGGTGTGTTCCTCTTCAGACCAAGGCAAAGATTGATTTGATGTTTTTTTTTTTGCTTGTGTAAAATTTAATGTTGTGTGTTTTGTTATCATAGCCCTAGCAGTGTACGATCTTGTCTTTGAAGTTAGTTTTGTGTTGGATGTTCCAGTTGACACACACACACACTGCACCATTTTGTCAGCACCCACCATCAGATTCTGGTGATCTAAAGTGATCAGAGTCAGGATGATGTTCCAGTGACCTCTGTGGTCCGCAGGTCGACTCCCAGGTGGATCAATGTTCTGATTCAAGAGGTCAACGCTAAGTGTGGTATTTATTTGCTTTGGGCTGCACCAAAGGAAGTCAACTGCAAGTGTGAATGTGTGAAGGTGAAGAGGCTTGATTGGTTGTTTGATCCAGGTGTTAGTTTTTGTTGAGCAGGTTGAGGATGAGGTCAGAGGTCAGGTCGAGATTGGAAATGTACTGGAACCAGGACGTACTGTAGTTGAACCCAGAGGAGATGGATGGACTTTGTGAAAGAGAAGGTGAAGATGAATGGTGTAACTGTAGAAAAGTCAGGGGATAGAGAGAGAGATTTAGATGATTCACTGTGGTGAACAGCTGAAAAGAGAAAGACGTGCCGTAGATGTTGGACTTCGTGGAGTAACTGAGCTGGGAGAACTGTACTTCTTCTTATACTTGAGTACGAATTCCTGCTACATGTCATCATGTATGATGTATTTGTTCAAGTCCATGATGAACCTGTGTGTTGGAGGAAGTGACACGCGTATCGTATGACCTACAGTACGTGCCTCCTGAAGCACTTCACCCCAGGCCTGGGAGATATTTCTGTTCCACATTCAAGGCCTGGTGAATTAAGAATTAATTAAAGCCTATTTTGCAGCGTTGAATAATCTGCATGTCACTCTTATTGTTATGAAAAATCATCAGGGAAAATAAGAGCGATACCAGCAGAGGGCAGTATCTTGGCAGTTTCCCAACAGTTTAGTTGACATGGCAGACTTTTTACAATGCTCTTTTTTTTAAGTCCTGATATTGGCTTACTTGCAAAACATCTTAAAGCGCCCCCTGCTGGAGCTTGTGGTACCTCGTTCACACCATCTAAAAAAAAAGCAGAGAAATGAAACCACAATAATCTTCAACGTAAAAAAAAATAAAGCTAAGAAATGAAACCACAATAATCTTCAACGTAGTTCATTGTTTTGTCTTTTCCTTTCTAGACTCTTCCGAGCTGGTCACCTTCACTCCGACGTGGTAACAGCCATCACGACCTACAGCCATCATGGAACTAGACTTTGGACATTTTGACGAGCGTGACAAGTCCTCCCGCACCCCTCGGGGTGGGCGCATGAATGGACTGCCCAGCCCCACGCACAGCGCCCACTGCAGCTTTTACCGCACACGCACCCTGCAGGCCCTCAGCAATGAGAAGAAAGCCAAGAAGGTGCGCTTCTACCGGAACGGGGATCGGTACTTCAAGGGCATCGTGTACGCCGTGGCCAGTGACAGGTTTCGCTCCTTCGACTCCCTGCTGGCTGACCTCACCCGCTCCCTCTCTGACCACATCAACCTACCACAGGGGGTGCGCTTCATCTTCACCATCGACGGCGCCCGTAAGATAATGACCTTGGACGAACTCGAGGAAGGTGAGCGCTTGAATCCTGTAACTGGACGACTGTCCTCGACAAAATGAACACACTCTACCTAACACACCTCTATCTCAATATACAGACATGTAAAGACACGACAAAATTCGGTGCTTGTTTAACACACACTGACAGCCAGCAAGGGTGGGATTTGAACCTATGATTCTCAGTTAAAAGAGCCTGATTCTCTTTAGCAACATTCAGTTTCTAATCACTGGAGCATTTAACAGCTGAGCAGCTGCTGTGCTTTGTGTCCGTGTCCTTAAATTGTTGATTTTCTCAATGGAGTTTGGTGCAGATGAGTGAGAGAGGGATGCAAAGACAAAGGGAGAGTCTCTCCATCTTATTCTCAGGATATTCTGTTGACCATATATTTTACTGGTGGCCAGGGACGATCCACGTCATTGACCTGCTGCAGGACTGGAGGCCACATGTTGTTAAAAACCTTGACTAAATAATGCATTCTCAGTTCCTTCTTCCTTAACAATGTTCCCTTTTATAGGATTTTTAAAAGCAGACTCTGAAGTGCAGCTTCATGTTGCAGGTGTTGCAGCACTTTCCACTGGTCTTCCACTAACGTACAGCCTGTAATTAATGACTCGCTCTCCTCTGCACAATGCAATTCTTTTGTCTGCTTTCTTGTCGCTGCTGTGATTCCTCTGTATTTGTCCTAATTGCTGCTTTCTGGATTCCATCTTTCCTCCCTGATTTGCCAAAATTCCTCTCTTTATCTCTCTCCCCCCGTTGACTTCCTTTATCTGCAGCTCCTCAGCACTGTCTGCTGAGGCAACAAAAGTCCATAAAAGAAGGTTAAAAAAAATAAAAAAAATAATGAAGGATGATTTACAGATTTGTGCATCCAGTAAGGACTGCACTCTGGATGCCTTTGGTTCCGTTCACTGCTGTGACTTCTTCAGACTGTCTCAGGCCTTTGCTCTTGGTGATAAAGTTTTACTCCGAGGCTCCAGTGAATGTTCTCATAGTGACAGAACCGTGAGTGCAGAGCCAAAGTGAGTGAAATCATTATTTGAAGTCCAGGCGCTCGTGTTGCCATGTCGTAAATGGACGGGGTCTCAGGCAACAGTTATAATCCCACTCCCCAATGTTTGGCTTCTTCTGAGGAGACTTGATCACATCAAGTCACAAGACCTCCTTGGAAATGGTCAAAATGAGTCGCCTCTTCAGGATTGTTTAGATCAGGGGTCTCGTTTTGTCTAGTTTTCCAGAGGTCGGTGACCCCTGGTTTAGATATTTTATAGGGTTGTGGATCCATTAATGTTTTGAATCATATCTGTCTTAGGGAAGCTGTAAATTAATCATGATTCATTGTAATTAGTAAATACATTCTTAACATAAACTCACACTCACACTCGACAAAAGCAGATATTCCCAGGGTTCCCTGTGGTGTCCGATTGATGAAGTTTAGTTTGTGGTTCATATTATGTTTCAACAAAAGACTTTCAATTGTGACCTTTTATCAGTTTAAAATGAAACCTAAGGCGCTGGAAGCTTCATTTCTCCCACCGGTGTTGACCTTTCGTAACTCCTGCAGTTTCTCCGACACTCTCGGGTGTCGGCGTTGAATGGTCGATTGTGTTACATCACTCTAACCTGATTTTGTCCCCACCTCAGGGGAGAGCTACGTTTGTGCATCAGAGAACATCTACAAGAAGGTGGACTACACAAAGAACGTCAATCCCAACTGGTCCGTGAACGTGAAGGCCTCCGCCAACCAGAAGAACATGCAGTCCTTGGCCGCCAGAGCCGCCGGCGATCCCAGAGAGACCAGGGACTTTATCCGACCCAAACTGGTGACGGTGATGCGCAGCGGGGTGAAGCCGCGCAAAGCCGTGCGAATTCTGCTGAACAAGAAAACGGCGCACTCCTTCGAGCAGGTCCTCACCGACATCACGGAGGCCATCAAGCTGGAGAGCGGCGTGGTGAAGAGGATCTACACACTGGACGGCAAACAGGTAGGAAACACTGAGGGGATGAAAACGCCACGTGAGACGAGGCAAATATTACATTCAAATGTTCTGTAGCGAAGACGTTTGTTGGAGGATTCACTGGAATAAAGATGGTGGAGATCATGACGTGGATGAAAGGCTGAACCACAGAGGAACTGAGGGTCGAGTCGAGCGCTGTTAGTCCTCCATATGTTCGTTCACAGTCTGACTAGTATCATTAACTTCAAAGATTACTGGTCACCAAGTTATGAGAAAAAAACCCAGCAGCTCCATGAGAACAACCTAAAGACACAATGACTTTCATTCTTCTCGTTCTTTATTCTCACGTTCAGACTCACACAACGTCTTTTTATCTGGAGGTTCAGGTCGTTTGTGTCCCGTGAATAGGCTTTTGTTGTGCAGTTTGTTTTTGGACCACTGGTCCTTTGTGGGCGTCTACCTGTGATGTGAACAGACTGAAAAAGAAAGAAAAGTTCTGCCTTCTGTAGTCAATCCCTGCATTGTTGTAATTGGTCATTTTGACCTTTGATCGTCGGACTGTACTTGGTGATCCAGTGTGGACACCAAAAACCTCTGGCGTCATTGGTATTCAATGGTCTGGCTTTGTAAATCTGACCTAATTTTTAAGTTGTTGACAACAAGTCAGAGATGACCCGTGGCCAAAAATATCTGACAGATTATTTTTTGGGATTTATTTATTTTTAACCTTATTCTACCCACACTCTTGATATGTTTTACTAAAGTTATACAGTTAAAATAGAGAATCACTCACCAGCAGGTGGTGCTGGAGTAGATGTACGGTGTTTGTTAATGATGGCTGAAGAAAGTATAAGGGAGTTGACCCGCTCACTCATCATGGCCGTCTGTAGAATACTCTGCGACGCGGCCTACGTTGGGGAAGACTCTGTAATGACCTCATTGTCAGAATAAAAGTGTGTCACATCTCTGTTGAGTTGGAGGAAACAGAAAGACGTGGCCTGCAGCCCAACTTATTACAGAAGGTTGTCCAAAGGTACGGAATAAAACCTGGAACCGGATGTTTAGATCCTGGGATTGTTGGAAAGACCAATCGTTTGATCAGACTTGCATCTAAACCAGGTCACTCCTGCAGCACACCGCACCGTGTGTGTGTGTGTGTGCTCAGTTCTGCAGCTAATCCAGTTATGTGATACATCAACTCTTGTCACTGGATTTAGGTTTAAAGTCGTACAAAAAAAATTACTAAATTTTCTTTTACTGAAAATTTGATTTACACAAAATTAACAGCTGGATCTGCCCTCTGTTTGAAATGATGATGATGCTGCTGCTGCTGCGGCGGGATGTAAGAGTATACGCAGGCTAAAATGTCCTGAGCAACCTTGAGAAATTCACCAGGGCTCAGTTGTTTGAAATGCTGGCTTTTGCCGACAAACATAAATCAGGCCATGAAAATACCCACGAGAGGAACCTGCAGGAGTTCAGTTTCCACAAAAACAGGCTCTGACCTCAGCACCGGTGATGTTTGGATAACACTTCCAGCAGAGTCGCTCGACTTTGTTTCCATTTGGACCTTTTATCACCTTATTTTACAGTGTTAATTTGGTTGTGTTCATGTCACATTAACGTCGCAGATAAATCAGGAAAATGACAAATCCGTTAGTATATGAACATGACTCCGTCTGAAGTCTTTCTCATCATATAAATTCTAATCTTGGTCTAAAGTCGGTGACAGCCTCTAATATTAGGAAACACTGAACGGCGTTAGGACATGAAGTCAGTTGGAACTAAACCATGTGACTAGAGAAAAGTCAATTAATGGATTTTGGAGCGGACGCTGTTCTTCATCTGGCAGTCCCAGGGGGCGGGGGGCAGGGGGGGCGGATCTATTGTTATCTCGACACACACACGCACACACGTGAAGTCCAGAGAACTCCATGTTTTATTCATGTCTGTGCTTTAATGGACCAAACCTGGGGACGACCGCGACGTTAAAGTCTTCAGAGACTCCACTTCTGTGGAAGCTTCTTCTTCTTCATCATCATCGACTTCTTCTTCGTCTGCTGTCGTGGTATTTGGCCGTGTCAGAATAATGTGATAAGAGAAAAGGAAAGGCTTCGCCACATGATGAGACCGACCTGCGTTTGTTTGTTTGTTTTCCAAAACAGAAGGTCAAACGGACGATGATAAAATGATGTAAGATGTTTATCACAACATATGAAATATATCATTAAAACACTGTTGGAGCTAGTGTGAGTCTGCCACACCCTTAGGGGGCGCCAGAGCTCTTACGTGACGGAAACAAGAAACTGTATTGTAGCTAACTTCCGTCAGAATGAATTGGGGTACTGTGAGAAAAGAGACTGACACTCCCCCTGTAGGAAAGGAGAGGAATTATGATTATTATTTAATTTTGTATTTAATACTTAATAAATATAAAGAAATGAGTTGCGGAGTTGGACCATACGACGTCTATTATTTAGGATCATTTCTACATCTTCACAACAACTTCCTCGTTACACCTGTAACTGGCGGCTGACAACAGTCGGTTGTTGTTGTTGTTTCCCAGTAAATGAACAGACTGAAGTCTGAGACGTTCTATTGTGAGAACGTGCGGATGTCGTTTGTGAACATCTGTTCCTCAGATCGCAGCTTTGATACAGTTTAATTCCTTTATCCTACAACGTTCCTGACAGATGGACCGAGGGTTGAATCCTACAGTACTGTACTGTACTGTACTTGGCCCGTGTGGGTCTTATTTCAACTCTGTACGACTGTTTGAAAATGTAAAGGAATATGATTGGACAGCGACATGTTCTCCCACGTTTTTTCTTTTTCTTTTAGTCATAATAGTTGTTAGATGATTAGACATGTTCTCCCACGTTCTTTCTTTTTCTTTTAGTCATAATAGTTGGACTGACTTTCATTAGACTTTAGCCGCTTCTTGTGCTATTTATATTTGACCCAGAAAATATGTCTAAAGGCAACCTGTGGTACTGCGGCTCGTGTCAACTGGAAATTCACCGGATGACTAAAAGTAAAAAAGATACGAGATATATTTGTTAAAAATAAATATTTACTCTAATATTTTCTTAGAGTATTGTTAGGCTTGAGTTAACTGTGGTGACCGACAAGGCCGGAAATACAGCCCCAAACCCATACAGAGCCTACTCATGCTTTTCTAAGGTTCCTAAAAATATTGATTTATTTTCTGGCCTTTTTTTTGACATATTAGTGGAAATTGTAGATGAAAACAAATCTGAAACTTACGATGACTGACTTGCGATGACTTTTTTTTTATTTTGTTGGCGTTGTTAACAAGTTAGCATAACGTAGCTTTTCTTCTTCATAGCTTTTGTTAGAGACTTTTTTTATGCAACTTTTCTTGAATTGTTGATAATATTCAACTAGTCATTCAGGTAAAATCAACATCTCTGAATGAATTTTTTAGTGTTTATTTTTTTAATATTCATTCAAGTTAAACAAAAGCAGTGATGGGTTATGATTGGTGCAAATAACAGCCTGCTGCATTATTAATGATTTATTCCAATATTAATTGCCCCGTATGCCCTATGATGGCAGTCCTGATCCCGGGGCATCGATTCCGTTGTCTTGACTCCCAGCTCATCATTCCGTGGTTATCGTCCATTGATCCCTGACTCCCTCTGTAATCCTCCCTGTAATGTTCAAACACGCTGCACTGCCTTTGTGTTCTCCTGCTCGCTGCAGCTGCTCGGCGCTGGATGGAGGTGAGATGGTTGGAGCAGTATTGATGCGGAGCCCACCCCTCTGTGTTGATCCTCCTCCTCCTCCTCCCTCTCTTCTTCTTCCCATTCCGTTGCAATAGCTGCCGGTAGCCGTTGCTAGGAGACCACATCACGGGCACAAAGAGAGCCCAGCTGGTGTGGACCGGTCTGTCAAAAACCACATCCTGAAGTGGGCGTGAGGGCTCACTATCAATGTGAGTCTGTGGTTCTTAAAAGTCAAACATAACAGCAGCTTTGATCGTTGTTTCCTTCCATTAATTATGATTAAATGATTTTTAAAAAATTTAATTTTGTACAACACAAAATCTTTTTTTTTTTAAATTTTTTTAAAAAACTACCCTGTCTGGAAAAAAACGCCGTTGCCTCCTCCTTTTGTCTGGAGGCAAAATCACGCCAATTTACCCATCAAACATTGGTGCTAGTCACTCCGTCCAGAAAGGGCGGGGCTCGCCCATGGTGGAGTCATTCTTGTTCTTAGGAGCAAATTAGGATCTTTTGAAATTTGCTGATAAGGAATAATTACTGGCTGTGCACAATAAAAAAAAAAAAAAAAAAAAGAGAGAATATTAGGATTTGTCTGCACCGCTGCCTACAGTGGAGTCCATTGAACTGCGGGCTCTTCAGTTCGCTCTTATTTACATTCAAGATCCACTCGTTCATCAGAGCCGCACAGAATTGGAGATTTGTTTCCCAGTTGACAGAAATGCTGATTTTAATAACGGTCCTTCAATAACGCACCGTTGTGTTGCTGTGTGGTTTGTCTTCATGACTGCCGCTGCCCTTGAGCTGCAGAGGAGGCCTTGAATCAATGAAGTCCCTGTTGTTCTGAACAGGGTTTTTATCTCAAACATTAAATTATTATTTATTTTTTCTTGATAAATTCAAGCTACAGCCTCAAGGACACAAGGTCACGCTGTTGCTGTCGGAGAACAAAAGACGACTGTTGCGTTGGAAGCTCCAACATCATTTTAAGAAGTGTGAAAAGAATAAAATCACAGGTTCAGGGATTTTTTTTTTTTTAACAGCTTAAATATATTCAGTAATAAGAAGCAAATGGAAGAAGCTTATTTTCCCTGTTATCAGCTCTCAGGCAGACTGGCTGCTCTTTGCTGTGCTGCAGAAGCAGTTGTCATGGCAATAAGCGCTGTTGTCCAGGATTTGCAGTTTGGTTTTTTTTCTGACAATGACTGTGATGAGCTGAGTGGGCTTTTTTTTTTTTTTCTCCTCTCCTGTCGCCTGTCTTACGTGGCTGTTCTCTGATCC